TTATATTAAAATATTAAATTAATATTAAATATGTTTATGTATATTCAAAATAGATATGTTAACATATATTTAATTTTGAATTTAATTGTCCACTTTTTATGGTAAAAGATTATTATGATTTCCATAAATATAGATAGTTTTTGTTTTTTTTTTTTTTTTTTTGCTGTCATTCATTCTGTTTGGCAACTGGTTTTATTTTCATGAAATTTTTTAAAAAAATTGGGGGTGTTTGGCTTCAAGTTGTCCTTCCCAATTAATAGTATAGATTCCTAATCTTCAAAAAAATTTCCTTTTTTGGAACTTGGCTTTACACAAATCTTTTATTTATTATATCAAACAAATCTGATTGGAAATTCATCATATGTGACTTTCCAAACAACCACTACATAAACGGCAAAAGAAAAGAATAATTTGATGATGATGAATAACATGGAACACAATGATTGATATACAAATATAAATTTGTGAATATGACAGAAGATGATATAAAGTTATGGAGAATTCATACAAATTCTTGTATTTATAGAAGTAAACATTATAATATTATATCTCCGTTTTTCTTATAAAAAAGATGGAAACAGTTTTGCATGTTTGTTAATAATAAAGAATATTAAATACATATCGGTAGTTGGATAATACATATCATAAACATACAAAAAGATATCAAACTTCTAAATGTTTTATATAAATAATTATTATGAAATTCTGAAGGTTTATAATATTTAAGGTTTAGATAATTTAAAGTTTGATATTTATCTATATAAAAAGCGATAAGTCATGGGTTTACTCGACATGATTTTTTTAATTTAATTATGCTTTAATTTGCTCGTGATCGACATGCTTTACATTAAGAGAATTTTTGAGAAATGCCCCTTTTGGTGTACCCTTTTCCAAAAATACCTCTCTTTTCTATCATTTTTCAAAAATACCCTTTTTCAAATATAAAAATTATAAACTTTTATATGGTTGATAATGTACATCAAGATCATCATTATTACTAGCAGACTAAATCCAAATATTTATAAGGTTTTAAAAGGTTCTAAACGTTATTTATAATGTTTATATAAGGTTTTTAAAAGGTTTATAAAGTTTTCATAAGGTTTTTAAATGGTTTTTAAAAGTTTTTAATAGGTATTTATATGATATTTATGAAATATAAATGTAAATTTACACACATATAAAGATAATTTGTGTCTAGAAATATAAGCTTACACATATTTTGTTGATAAATTTCAAAATTTCTAGTGACTTTTTGAAAAAATTAGAAAGAGGGGTATTTTTAAAAAGTAGTATTGGAAAATTGGTATTTTTCAAATTCTCCCTAGATTCAAGAGAAATTGCTACCAATACCCTTCTTATGATACCCTCTTTTAAAAATACCCTGTTTTTGCCATTTTCATTTTTGCCATCTCTCAAATTTTAATGGCCATTTTACCCCTAGTTGAAAGAATATTCTTTCCAAAAATTTTCCCCAAAACATTTCCCGCCAAAAACTTTCTCGCCAAAATTTTCCCGTAAAAAAAAATTCCGAGAAAAAATTTCCTGCCAAAATAATTTCCGCAAAAATTTTCCCGCAAAAAAAAAGAATTTACAAAATTTTCCCGCCAAATTTTTTTAAAGTTTTTACAAGATTTTTTAAATGGGTTACAAGAGTTTTTTTAAAGAGTTTACAAAGGTTTTTAAAGGGATTTACAATAGTTTTTAAATGGTTTTAAAAAGATTTGTAATGTTTTTTAAAAAGGTTTAGAAGCTTACAATGGTTTTTGAATGGTTTTTAAATGATTTACAATGGTTTTTAAAAGTTTTTATAAGTTTATAACAGTTTTTAAAGGATTTCAAGGATTTTTAAAAGATTTTAAAAATTTACAAGGATTTTTAAAGGGTTTTTAAAAGGATTTACAAGTGTTTTTAAAGGCATAAAAGGATTTTAAAATAATTTTAAAAGGATTTACAAGGATTTTGAAAGATATTTACAAAGATTTAAAAATAGTTTTAAGGATTTACAAGATATTTTAAAGGGTTTTAGAAGTATAAAAAGGATTTTAAAGGGTTTACAAAAGTTTTTAAAGGTATTACAAGTTCTTTAAAATGGTTTTTAAATGATTTATCACAGTTATAAGGGGTTTAAAGAGATTTACACTGGTTTTAAAAAGTTTACTCAAGTTTTGAAAGGTTTTTGATGACTTTTAAAAGATTTAAAAGGGTTTTTAAAGGATTTTTTAAGGTATTTAAAAATATTTACAAAGTTTCTTAAAAGGTTTTTAAGGAATTGCGGAACAATTTTGAATGAAATTTTTGGCGGGAAATTTTTTTTGGCGGGAAAATTTTAGTCGGAAATTTTTGCCGGAAACATTTGGCGGGAAATTTTTCGGAAGGAATTCCTTTATTCATCATGGGTTATAATAAAGGAGGGTAATTTAGTCATTTTGTACATTGAAAAGGGTATTTTTGAAAATGGACACCTAGAGAGGGTATTTGTAGAAAAGGGTATCATAAAAAGGTTAGTTGTGCAAATCCCCCTATATTTAATAGCTTTAATTTGCTCGTGATCGAGATGCTTTAGATTTAATAATTAATTAATATATCAAAGTAGCCATAGGTAAAACTCTTATTAAAACAGTAAAACTAAATCCTAAAAATTGTTATATCCATCCAAAAAAAAATTCAAGAAAACAGTGATAATAATTTTTTGAAGAACTTTTCAAAATCTTCTATATTGGTTTCCTTTTCTTGGACCTTGGCTTCCACATCTTTTATTTTAAACCAAACAAATCCGTTTGGAAAATTTTCATATGTCAATTTTCTTGCTTGATGATCTAAGATATTGCATTCCATCCAACCTAAGAATTTTGTTTTTTTCTTCGTAGAGAGCGAGTTTACATCTTCTTTGGAGTTCATCTTTAATAGCTAACAAAAATAATAATTCGAATCACAGCTTATCAAAATTAAACAAATAGAAGTTAAAACATACAAACCGAGATAATATACTTGTTTCAAAAGTTGATGTAAGCAAAGGCAAAGGTGTAAGATTCTTTGATGTTGCTTTCCAAACAACAACTACACGAAGAGGAAAAGAAAAAATAGATTAAGATGAATAACACGAATCACAAATATTAGCATGCAAATATAAATTTGTGAACATTATAGAAGCCTTAGGAACAATTTTTAAAAAAAATTTGAGTTATGGAGAGAGCACACAAATTATTATGGTATTTTAGAAGTAAAATACAATTTTTTCTAGGGTTTCAAATAAGGAGGTGTATTTTTTATGGACATTTTTACGTAAGCCCATTCGCTTGAAAACCCTAATTCTAAAATTCTTAAAAAATCGCTTTAAACCAATTTCGGTTTAGGTTTTAAAAATTTCAGTTTTAATAATATAAATTATGATTTTGGTTTATATATTTTCGTTTTTTTGGGTTTTATTTTAACTAATTAAAGACTAAACAAAAAAAGTATAAGCCAGCAGTACTTTCATTAAAAGCAAAACGGTAATCCGTTTCTCGGAACGAACGTGAGCTCTTTTGATTACTCTTTTAATTATATAGATGATACGCTTACAAGTTATTTGATAAAATAATAATTATCGTGTGTAACTTTAAGTGTTTTATGTGTGTACATATTCTTGCATAATCAACCTTCGGCAATAAGAAACATCACCCAAAATTGTATATAATATCAATTAAATAGCTAAACAATCTTTCAGCAAACCAGTTTCTTCATGGTCTCAAAACAAGTTGAGTCAATATACATGAAACAGAATAATATGAAACGTTGCTAGAGAATCTAATAATTTATCATACATCCCACACATCACTATTTTCCAAACAAACAACTTAGCACGTCCTCTACATGTATTTGAAACTGCCAAACACGAACCCAATTTGGGAAGATACTATAATATTTACCCACACGGAAGAAAAATACTATATAAAGGACATTCATTTCCATGTAAATCATAACCAAAACAAAGAAACGAAAAGAGCAGAAACGAGTATTATGATCTCCTCAAGAATGATGGGACGAGTGCATTGCATGGTTTATGTCGTGTTCTTGAGTGCCATCGCGGCTACAGTGACAGCATATCCTTACTCCTTACCTCAAACACCCCAATACAGTTCTCCGGTTCACAAACACGAATCACCTTATTACTCTACTTCCCCAAAGGTCGACTACAAATCTCCACCTCCCCCATATGTTTACAGCTCCCCACCACCACCTTATTACTCTCCATCGCCAAAAGTCGACTACAAGTCTCCACCTCCACCATACGTCTACAGCTCCCCATCACCACCTTATTACTCTCCTTCCCCACAGGTAGACTACAAGTCTCCACCTCCACCATACGTCTACAGCTCCCCACCACCACCTTATTACTCTCCTTCCCCGAAGGTCGACTACAAATATCCACCTCCCCCATATGTTTACAGCTCCCCACCACCACCTTATTACTCTCCATCCCCAAAAGTCGACTACAAATCTCCACCTCCCCCATACGTCTACAGCTCCCCACCACCACCTTATTACTCTCCTTCCCCAAAGGTCGACTACAAGTCTCCACCTCCACCATACGTCTACAGCTCCCCACCACCACCTTATTACTCTCCTTCCCCAAAGGTTGATTACAAGTCTCCACCACCACCATACGTATACAGCTCC